AAATGCAAAAACTGTAAACCAAAATGCAAAAACTGTAAACCAAAATGCAAAAACTGTAAAACAAAATGTTAAAACTGGCTCAGGAAGTTCTTTGGGTCATTCAGCAGTTTGCGGGGAAGTTTATTTAATTTTAATTTTAACAAAACTTGATTGTGCACTTTTCTTGTGAGTTGTTAGTTTTTAAGCAGCAGGCCTGCTGACGTGTCCTGAACAGAACTGGACAAACTTCTGTTGTCTCAGGACGGACTGTGTGGTTGTTCCTGAAGACGGGAGCAGTCCGGGTGTCTGTTTGCACCAGATCTTACTTCAGTCCTGATCCAGCCGTGCACACGCCCAGCTGCTGCATTTCTCCCTTCAGGCTACGGTTTCAACACTCGGACACAAAAGACTCTGCTCAGATGAAGTCCTGCTTTCTGTCGGACCTGATCGTTGTCCTCGAGGGCCACTGTCCTGCATAGTTTAAATGTTTCTCTGCTCTGACCTGATTCAAAGGCTGCATGATCTGTAGCTGGTCCTCCATTCATCCAGATGGTTCTTTAAAGCAGAGAAACCTCTAAAACAGGATGAAGGCTGGAGGATCAGGATTGGGACACAGCTCATCAAAAGGTTTACACAAACTCTGGACAGAGCCTGAAACTCCTCTTTGACCAGGCTCCGGTCAATTTGCATCAGAAACACAGTTCCTCGTGCACTTCCTCAGCTGGGCGAGTCACTAAAAAACAACTGTGTTGAAACTCTGTCTTCCTCTTGCTACTGCAGACATCATGTCCAGGATCAGCTGCTTGTCTGAACTACAGTCATCTTAAAAACTTATGGACCAACTGCTCCTTATGGGCCCAGAGCCCGGGTCCATAAGAAGTGCCGTTGGTAGGTCCAGGTCCAGGTCCGGCTGTGGAGATGAATGAGAAATGACTGGAAGTCTATGCGAAGTCCCTGTAAAGATATAAAGACAAACGTGTGTGTGTGTGTGTGTGGGGGGGGGATGGGGGGGAGACAGGGATGATGCTGCTGAAACTGTCGGAGAACAAAAGGATTAAACGTGCGCTCTGAGCCAACAGTGGGAGCGTGCACACTGAACGCAACTTTTTTTTTTTTTTGAAGAGTAAAAGCAGTTTGTGCAACTTCCTGTTGAAGTTGGTTCATGCGACAGCGAAGCCACAAACACACGCGTGTCACATACGTGTCATCAGAGCTGGGACAAAAAGGCGGTTTGTTTGATCACAGAACCTGTTCTGGTCTGTGGACTCTGCAGGATGTCAGACTGATCTGAGCTCTTAACGAACTTAAGAGCGACTCAGATGACACCTGCTCATCCCTTCATCCCTCTCTATAAACATGAACACACACGGTGTGTGTGTGTGTGTGTGTGTGTTATTGTTGCCTTCAGTTTGAGGAAGCGGCTCTGAATAACTTCAAGGTACTAATTATTCTTGGTACTTCCTGTTCCATCCCATATTTGGTCTTTTTTTTTTTTTTTAAATGTCGGCTCCTTTAAGATGCTGAGAGGAACAGCAGGAACTAAGTGTTTTTCCTTTAACGCAGTTTATTTAGTTTCCTGCAGGGCGTGGTCCAGATCTGACACGTCTCTGTACAGACTTGCTCTCACATTCCTTCCTCTCCTCCCGTTTCCTCTTTAAGGCATCTTCGCTCGCAGAATGTTGTAGTCTGAGCAATATGCTGCAAACACGAAGCAGAACATGATGGAGCTGCAGCTGGGGAGGTGAATAAAGGAGGTGAATAAAGGAGGTGGAGATGATGAGCAGGAGTTGTGCTGTAGGACACAGTGATGTTTGTTTGTGTCGGGTCTGGAACACGGAGCCAGCAGGTACATGATGAGGGAGAAACCTGAAACAGCTGTTGCAGGGGATGTGCCCAAACCTGCTCCGTCCTCTGAAGTGCTCTGTTTGGTGCGTGCGCACGCCTCTGCTCAGGCTGAGCACAAAGCAGCCAGAACCCATCAGACAAACCTGACGCCTCAGGAGGAGCTTCTGGTTGGAGCGATACGACGACTGCAGGGGAACGAAGTTTCTCCTCGCTGACGCTCAGTGAGGTCTCCTGAGGAGTGAGGCTGAATGGATGTCCTGCATCTGTCCCTGCAAAAAGCAGCAGGACGGATGCACACACCGCGCCCACCCCCCCCCCTCCCCCGACCCCACTGAGCGTCAGCGAGGAGAAACTTCGTTCCCCTGCAGTCGTCGTA